ACAAGACCTCCATACACGTGCGACAAAGTGCACACACACATACACACACACACACACACACACACACACACACACACAATTTTTTTTTCTTTTTCTTTTTGGCTTTTTCTATAAGTACATCTCCCTGTAGCCCCAGCTGACCTGGAACTCGCTATGTAGACTAGGCTGGCCTTGAATTCACAGAGATCCACCTGCCTCTGCCTCCCAAGTGCTTGGATTAAAGGCGTGCGCTACCACGTCTGTCTAAACATGATTTTTTTAAATAAAGTACTGCAAATTCTGATCAATGTTAAGAGCAATTATTCCTTTTTCAATCTTTATCTCTTGTTTGTAGGCCTTCTAGCAATTTCTTTGTTTCTTTTGAAAAAGCGAGAGAGTATACAGATTCCTGTGGGCATCATCATCATATCTGGCTGGGGGTAAGTGGTGGTTTTCTGTTTGCTTCTGTATTTCCGAGTTTGTGGTTACTATTCATTCTCTCTTTCTCAATAACTCATATTCTAGAATTCCTGCTCTCCTTGTTGGTGTTCTTTTGATAACTGGAAAACACAGTGGAGACAGCATTGACTCAGCCTTCTTTTATGGAAGAGAGCAGGTGGGAAGAGTTTATTGGCAGGTCTGTTCTTGAGAATGCCTTTGTTTAGCTTGCTATACCTACATTAAAATTAACTTTGAAAATGTACTCTATTTATCTCATGGTAATTTTATATCACTTTGTCACACCTCAAAATATGAACGTTTTATGTCTACTTTTAGCTGAAGATTCTAAATACTTAGAACTTAATTGATTCTTATTAAAAACATTTATGAACTGTTTCCTATGCCAAATGAAAATAGTGATTAAACCACTTCCTAGGTTATCAGTAATAGTAAATATCAAATTACTAGACTCTTGAAAAGTATAAATTTCAGAATCAAATATATCTGAAGAAAAGTGTACTTGAAAAGCTATAGACTAGGAGGCTGGTGAGACCTTCTGAATTTTTCAGGGATACAACCCAAGGATATGTTTCAAAAACCCTTCACAAAACATTTTGATGTCTCACTTTTTGTTTTGCAATTTTGAATTTAATTCACCTTTTGTGAGAATACTGTTATACACATAAAAGACCTACACTAATGTTGCTATGGAGTTGGTGCTCATAAGTATTAGCTATAACTTTTATAATCATGGCTATAAGAAAGCCCTGTTTACTGAAGAATTGACATGCAAGAATTTAGAAGCAAACAAAAGGCCTTTAATCCCAGTACTCTGGAGGCAGAGGCCAGTGGATATCTGTAGTTCAAGGTCAGCCTGGTCTACATAACAAGTCCCAGGCTAGCCAGCACTACATAATGAGATCCTGTCTCAAAAAAAAAAAAAAAGAAAAGAAAAGAAAAGAAAAAGAAAAAAGAAAGAAAGAAAAAGAAAAAAAAAAAAGCATTTTGATTACTTGTAAAGGAACCAAAGACTGCATTGTTAATTAGTTGCTGTGCAGAGAAACATCTAAAAAACTTGTATGATTCCAGGTAAACACATTTCACAAGTAATTCACATTCCTTACATGCTTCTACCCATTTTTAAGGCTTATTGTTCTGGAGTATGTAAAGCATACACATACATTTTCCATCAAAAAAAAAATTGCTCTTAAACCTACTCTGCTAAGATTATCAAGATAAGATTGTGAAAGCTGGCCTAACGTCTTTTTCTGATGCCAGCAGATGATCACCACAGCAGTCACCCTGTTCTGCAGCATTTTGATAGCTGGTGTATCACTCATGTGCATGAACCGAACCACCCAAGCTGGGCACTATGAAGGTTTTGGCCAGTCTCAGAGTCATAAACCAGTAGAGCCTGGAAGCACTGCATTCGAGGAGAACACAGCACCAACAAATGAACCAGAACTCTTCACAAGTTACATCCCAGAAACAAGTATGATCTTATGTTTAAAAAACAAAGACAAGGGGTTGGAGATATGGTTCAGTGGTTAAGAGCCATCTGCTTTTGCAGAGGACTCAGATTAAATTCCCAGCACCCACATGGTGGCTAACAACTGTCTATAACTCCAGTTCAAGGGGATCTGACGCCCTCTTTTGTCCTCTGAAGGCACTGCATGACACAGGTGCACTTATACACATGCAGGCAATACACGCATACACTTAAATAAAAGAGAATAAATATTTTTTAAAAAAACAAAGACAAAACACATATGCAAAGCTGTTACAAGCTTTTATAGTAATGGAAATACCCTAAACTAGTCTCAACTATTCTGAATATTATAAGTATTTGTTAAATTAAGAACTTGGAAAATAGAAGAGCTTGCAAATTTATTCATTAGTCTGAGAACGTTTTGTTAAATTCTAAGATTTCCTGAGAAAGGTTTGTTTGTTGAAACAGGGTCTTACTCTGTAGCCCAGGCTGATTTGAAACTTATAGCCCAGGTTTACCTCAAACTATTGCTCTTTCTGCTTTAGCCTCCCCAGTGCTGGGATTACAGACATGAGCCACCATGCCAATTTGCAGTACTAGGGATTAAATCCAGGGCTTCACACATGCTAGGCAAGTGTTCTACCTTTAAGCCATATCCCCAGCCCTGACCTGAGAATTTTAGAAGAAGTAAAAAGGAATGAAGGCCCTTCCTAGGAAACTAAACATACATATTTACTGCTTTAACAACACTTTATCAGGGAAGTACCATCAATAAAATTAATTTACAGAGGCCTAATTGAGGTTAAGGTTAATAACAGAAATCAGCCATCTACAAGCCTACAAGCCAAATCAGACCTATCACATGTTTTTGTATAGTTTCTAAGTTAAGAATAGCTTTTATGGGCTGGAGAGTTGGCTCAGCGGTTTAGCACACTGTCTGCTCTTGCAGAAGACCAGGGTTTGTATCACAGCATCCACATGGCAGCTAACAACCGTCTGTAACTCCAGGTCCAGGGGAATCCAACGCCCTCTTCTGTCCTTCACAGGCACTGTACAACACAGACTCACATTCATGCAAGGCATAACACTCATACATATCAAAATAAATAAAAACTTTTTTAAAAAAATAGTTTTTACATTAAAAAACATTATTTTTATGAATATGAATGTTTTTCCTGCATGTATGTAAGTGCACCCATACTTTTATGCATATGAGTGTTTTGCCTGCATGTATGTAAATACACCCATGTCATGCAATGCCTGCAGAGGACAGAAGAGTGTGGCAGATCCCCTGGAACTGGAGTTGTGGATGGTTGTTAGCCACCAGTTGGGTGCTGGGAACTGAACCCTGGTCCTCTGGAAGAGCAGCAAGCACTCTTAAATCCTGAGTCACCATTCTTGCTCCAGTTTTTACATTTTAAAGAAATTCAAGCCATTTTTAAGAGACAAGTATTTTGTAACTTAAAAATTCTATGAAACTTGAATTCCTGTTGTAATGTCACTGGACCATGCGTATTTGCTTTTGTGTTGTCTGTGGCTGCTTTCATTCTGTAATGGCAGAGTTGAATCATTGAAGCCAAGACTGAATGACCTTTACGGAAAATGCTTGCCAATCCATGTTATAAGTGAAAATATCCTAACTAGTGTCTTTGTTAATAAATGGAAACAATTAATGGAATTTGTTTAGTTTGTGAAGGGAACCCAGCAAGAGTACACATTTTGGATTTGTTTGTACAGGTAGAGATTTTGTAGAGATAACACATTTTATCAGGATATGTAAGTGATGGTACATATGATGTTTGGAACATTTGTAGAGAAATGATTATTCTCAAATCCATTAGTTGTAGATATCAATGAAGGAAGGATAAGAGTGACAAGAAAGAGAGGATGAAAAACATTTTATTTACCTTAAGGGAAGAAGCCCTCACAGGTCTTGACATGTATTTTACATGGCCTTCCTTTTTCATTTGCTTCCATCTCAAACTGGGAGTATATTAGAGTGGTTGAAAACATGAGCCTGGAGCCATATTGTCTGGGTTCAAATCCTAGTATCATAATTTACTTGTGAGCTTAGGCAAGTTCCCTGTGCCTCAATTTCACTATCTGATAGTAATACTTAAATCACAAGAATATGAATAAAGTGACAGATTGTATATAAAGCCAGAGCATAGTAAATGTGTAATAGGTATAAACATTTTATTATGAAGGACATCCTTATAGAGAAGAAATCTCAATACTATATGACTATTTTTTTAAAAAGTCAGTTTTTCCTCTTCTAACCTTTATCCCTACTCCCTAAAAGCATTTTATTGCTTATATATCATCCAGAAATTTTATTTCTCTTCCTTACATGTAGAAATGCATAATGCCCTATAACTTATGCAAAGATATGAAGTCTGAAAGAACAGCGTTTCTGTTCAGGGGATTTAAGATGTGAGTAAAGCCTCAGGTTAGAGTATGTAAGGGAAAAGATTGAACATACATTGGAAAGTCAGCAGATAGAAGGGCACTGTGTGCCAGTGAACAGGTGAAGATTTTGTCCTGTAAGTAAAGGGCTGTGTGAGTTGCATTTACAGTAGGTTAGACCTGATAGGGGGCCCATACTGGGTCACTGGGTATGGAGTGAACATCCCAGATCAGATTCAGGCATTGTATTGACAGGGTTTGGTAATCACTTGCAAGATGGGAAAGAGCTAAGAGAGGAAACTAGCATACTCCCGGGAATCCTGTGGAATTGAATATATATTTGGGTTATTACCTAAGGAAAATTCAGAAAAAAAGTTTTTTAGGGGAAGATAATGAGTTCAGTTTTGAGCCTTCTGAGTCTGAGATCCATGAAACGTGAAAGACATCCTAATTTCTCAGTGTACATATTTAAATGAGATTCTTAGATCTGAGTAAGGTTTTCCAGATATCACAATCTTTAGCATATAATACGAACTCAGTATTTGCTGACTGCTTATTGACTGAGTGGAGAGAGAATACAGGAGCTCACTCCTGCCTTACCTTAGAAAGCAGACTTCTATTCCACCTGATCTCATATTCATTTTATAGCAGCCAGATCACCCTAATTATTTCATCTTGAATTTTTTTTGTTTTGTCTTTTTGAGACAGGGTCTCCCTGCAGCCCCAGCTGTCCTGGAACTCACTATGTAGACCAGGCTGGCCTCAAACTCACAAAGATCCGCCTGCCTCTGCCTCCCAAGTGCTGGGATTAAAGGCGTGTGCCACCACGCCCGGCTTCATCTTGAATTTTTAAACAACCTAAAAACCTGAGTCTCTAACTCACCCCATATAGTAATCATTACTGTAGAGTGTCCCTTTAATCTTGAATTTGTGCAACTGACTTTTTAAAGTCTAAGGTAGGATTTTATTGTTTATATGAGCCTGTCATAACTGAAATATCCCTGTACCTTGATTTGTCATCCACGTGTCAACTTCCTTATCATATGTTTTTTCTTTTTCTTATTTAAATATCAAAAGTAGAGACAATATGGTAGGAAACTTAGAATTAATAAAGATCAACATGTCATTTTTACACAGATATTCTTCTTTTTGAGTTATTTTTAAAAACCATTTTTTATCCGGGCATGGTGGCACATGAGATCAAGAGTCTGGTTAATAGCTGAGCATGGGGATGCATGCTTTTAATTCCAGTAGTCAGAAGACAGGAGCAGGTGATCTCTGTGAATACAAGGCCAGCCTGGTCTACGTAGTGAATTCCAGGCCATCCAGTGAGACCCTGTCTCAAAAACAACAACAAAAACAGAGTTTGATAATTTTTTTTTCAGTTAATAAAGAAAAAAAATGATGTTATTGATAAATCCTTCTTGTGTTTAAAGGAAAAAACTTCCAAGGTACTTTTCTACAATGGCCATAACTGCATGTTTGTTGTTTGTGTGTGTGTGAGTTCATTCCTTATAGGTACATAATTGGAATGGACTGGCCTCACATATGTTTTCTTAATTTTTATGTCTTTTATGTAGTTTATGATTTAAACCTTCCCATTTCTGAAGAGGGCTAGGCTAGAGAATCTATTTTCTATTATTCTGTGGTTCTATTTTTAACCTTGAGATGGAATTGTTTCCTTAAATTTAAAAAGATTCTGGGTGTGGTGGCACACGCCTTTAATCCCAGCACTTGGGAGGCAGAGGCAGGTGGATCTTTGTGAGTTTGAGGCCAGCCTGGTCTACATAGTGAGTTCTAGGACAGCTGGGGCTACAGGGAGACCCTGTCTCAAAAAGACAAAAAAAAAATTTTTAAAGATATTTGTAATAGCTTGTAGAATATAGCTTTTATACTTTGAAATCTTTTTGTTTTTAAGAATATCACAGAATTTAAGCACATTATCAATGAGAGGTTAAGCCTAAAACGTACTCATTTTTCTAGCATATAAATTTTAATAGTTTATTAGTGAGGTTATTATTCTATTAATATTGCAATCTATGTCAGGAAGCACCATGCCTATAGAAGTGTAAAATGTCTTAAAGGGTACTGTGTGCAATTCTCTGACAATATAGAGGAAAAATTAACAGCTCTGTAGTATACCTCTCAGTGTGACCTCTATAAAGCAGTCTATTTATAAACCAGCAAGAGATTTTCAGGCATGTATACTTGAATAGAGAAAGGGATAGAATTCTGGTTTTACTGCAGCTTCTAGACTAATAAAATGCACATGCTTGAAAGAGTGAATTTTTGAGTTGAATTAAAAGGAGAGGATTTATCAGCCTAGACCTAGATGAGGCTTATGGAGAACTATAGAGAATTGTCTTGAAAGAAGGGAAGGCTTTTTGTTAAATAGCTGAGGTGGACAGATAGGGAGAGAGGCTGAGTCACAGACAGCTTTCTAATCTGGGCCAACTTTAGTGTGAGTTTTCCACAATAATCAACAAAGCAGTAATATGTTTGTAAGAGTGGTGAAATGAAATCTGTTTTAGGAATGTGGTTGAATTCTTAGTTCCCAGAGCACATTGGAAAGAAAACAGCGTGGATAAAAACACTTTTCCTTGTCTCATACACTGAGGATACCATCTATAAGAGAGTAGATGGTGTTTATTTGCAACTGTCAACTTCTGTGTAGGCATATCAGGATACATTTGGATAGATTCATGAAAATATCTTCACAGAGACTGCATGAGTGCCTTGGGTTTGATTTGGCCTCTTTTGAACTTGTCCATGTCTGCTGTGGTTGGAACCTACCTTCACATATTATGTATTTATATAGGTTGCTGCTCTTGTTCCTGGGGAAATGGTGAATTACACTGTCCATCAACAGAGCCAGTAGCAAACACAAGTACCAGTGGGCCTGTGACTTCTTCCATTGAGAAAAGTAAGTGCCCTGGACTATGAAGATGGCTTAAGGAAAATTCTTCAAAAGAATACTATACAGGATTTCTATTGAAGCTGTAATACTACAGAACATGGCTTGAGAATATGGGTTCTCAAAGAAGATGAGAGAAAGTGTTAATAAGATAATGATTATCTAGACACAATGCTCATTTTTTAAAAATTAAGTTCTTGGATGGGCATGGTGGCCCACACATTTTAATCCTAGCACTCAGGAGGGCAGAGACAGGTGGATTTCTGTGAGTTTGAAGCCAGTCTGTTCTACATAGTGCGTTCTAGGCCAGCTTGGGCTACAAGAAGACCCTGTCTCAACCCCTGCCAAATAAAGGTCTTAAAGACAATATTATAATAGATAGACACATGCCCATTTCCCTCAAAAAATTATGGCTGGGGGTATAGCTCAGTGGTAGAGCACTTGCCAGCATGCATGAAGCCCTGGGTTCAATCCCTCAGCACTGGAAAGAAAAGTGTACATCACTAAATCACTTAGCACCAAATATGGGGCAGTATACTTAATGATTTAACCTTTAAAAATTGTGTGTAAGCCTGGTCTACATAGTGAGTTCCAGGCCAGCTCGGGCTACAGGGAGACCCTGTCTTCTGTCTTAAAAAACAAACAACAAGCTGGGCATGGTGACACATGCCTTTAATCCCAGCACTCAGGAGGCAGAGGTAGAGGCAGGTGGATTGCTGTGAGTTTGAGGCCAGCCTGGTCTACAGAGTGAATTCCAGGCCAGCTCGGGCTACAGGGAGACTATGTCTCAAAAATACCAAAACAAAAAAAACAAAACAAAAACAAAAACCAAACCAAATAAAACAACAACAAAATTGTATGTAAACTATATAACATCTGTCTAAAATATATAGTATATTACATAACAAATTCTGTAAATAGAAAATGCTGTTAAATTATGTAAAGGGCACGATTGCATACCACTTGAATTTTTTTCAGAAACACTATACAACTCCGACTCCCCTAAAACAACCTAAGGGTGTTCTCCTCCAATCTCACTGACAATTATACCCTGATTTTATACTGAATGTGCTTTTTTGTTGCTTCTCTTAGGAAGTCATTATAAATTTAAAATGCATTCAAGTGAAAGGCTCTGATTACAGATTGTTGTACTCACTGTTTTATAGATGATCACTGCGTGAGTCGCTGTAACTCCCAGAGCTGCATATTAGTCCAGGAAGAGGAGCAGTATCTGCAGAATGGAGACCCGCAACTGACTCAACATGTCTTGCTGTGTTTACTTCTCATTATTGGCCTATTTGCTGTAAATGTTTCTTCTGGTTCTGTTTTGGGCTATTTCTTTAAATATTTGGCATCCCTCAGGCATCTAAGAGAAACTTAGTTGTCTGGATTCTAATATTGAACTAAATGTTTGGGGCACAGATTGGGGGCAAAAAATGAATCAGTTACTCTGTTGCCTGAGTGTTCCAATTTACTCCATACTCTGAACATGCCATGACCAGCTGTCTCCATCATACATGTAGGACCACTCACTGCTAACATACTTGATAGACAAAAGTGGACAAACACCTACATTATCTCTCAGAAGATATCAAAATAACTTTTAAATGTTAATTTTAGGAGCTGGAGAAATGACTCAAGTTAAGAGCACTGGCTGCTGTTGCAGAGGACTGGAGTTTGGTTCCCGGTATCCACGTGGAGGCTCACAACTGTTTATAACTCCAGTTCCAGGGATTCTAACACCCTCTTTTGCCTCCATGGGCACCAGGCACACACATGGTACACTTACATACATGCAGGCAAAACACTCATACACATGAAATAAATAATTATTAAAATATTTTATTATTTTTATGTTACGTGTATGAGTGTACTGCCTGTATGCATGCAAGTGCACCCGTGTCATGTCAGGCACGTGGAGGTCAGAAGAGGGCATCGGATCCCCTGGAACTGGAGTTATGGATGGTTGTTAGCTGCCATGTAGGTACTGGGAATTGAACCCAGGTTCTCTGCAAGAGCAGTCAGTGCTGTTAACCACTGAGCCACTCTCCAGCTCCATAAATAAATATTTTTAAATTTAATTATAGAAATTCTTCATACTATAAACAAGAAAAATGTCCTTCACACTAAAACATAATTTTTCTTGTTTTGTTTTTTTACTGATTGAATTTTCTGCTGCTGAAGATTGAACCCAGGTCCTCATGAATGCAAATCACAAATTGAACCCTATATATTCAGCCCTGCTTACTAATTTTTTTTAGCACTTTTCATGATTGTAATAGTACACACGGGTTTGCAGCTTGCAAACTTGTGTCAAACATGTTCATACTGAAGTGCTTCCCAATAAACCCCAAGAAAGCAACCTTATAATTTATTCAAGTACTGCTTTATTTATTACTCCCAATTCTTCAAAATGCATCATATTGGTAGATGCATGTATTGATAGATTCCCAAAGCTGAGAAACCTGGATCAAAGACTGTAAGTATCTCTGTGACACAGATGTAGTCTACTAATTACTTTCCAAAGGAGTAGTCTATATTTATAGAACCCTCTACCAGCATCAAATATTGGAAGATTTTTCAATTTTGTAATTTATTATAAGCACAGCACTTTGCTTTAATGCATATATTTCTTTAATTATAAAGGGGTTTTATTTGTCTTATATCCTCTTGTGAATTATTAGTTACACACAATTCTTTAAGATGGGTCAGTGTAACTTCTCTAGAGATGGGAGATGGGCCATATAACCTATCCAGCCTTTCACACTTGGACATGCATTACATAGTATGGTATCAGCCAGCAACACTTTAACCACCATTTAAGAATAAAAATCAAAAATAAGAAACGCTGCCAAGTACTGCTGCTTCGTGATAATTGTTTTCATTGTGTAGAACTAATTTTAAAATCCATCCTGTCTTAGGCTAGTCGGCAGTCCTGATGTATTATGTAAGCTTCTGTATTATGGCTCATGTCTTCTTGCTTCAAATTTGATCAGAATAGGCACTGTTTGAATGGCATCTGTCAGGAGGAGAGGGTGAAACCTCTTGTTTGAAAGACAAAGCTTCTACATTCTCTCATGTTTTTCCCCTTTAGTATTTTTTCCCCTAATTATTAACTAGGTAAGTTATTGTACTCTGCTCTGGATGGAAAGAAATGATTAAGCATGCTTAATTTTCAAGTATTCTTTTCTCCTTCCTTTACAGAATCTCTCCAGCTGTTTATGGTGGCTATTCAACCATGAAACTGGAAGACTATATGTTGAATTACAGTTTTTCTGTGCTGTGTTTAACTTTGGCCAGGTACTTGTTTACTGAGAACTTTGAGAGGTCTCTGTTTTCCTGGATGACTTGATTGGGGAGGGGGGGCGGTACAGATGCTGTTTTCTTTTAAATCAAAAGCATTTAGTTTGTTTGCCAGCTGCTGGTACACATGACAGCTGACAGCTGCTGCCTGTCTCCTAGCAGAGATGAATTATTATATCGGTTAAAGTCATCAGAATATACACCGAGTGTTTCAACCAGAAATACCAAATACTTTTTTGCTTTGGTGTTGAGATAAAGTATAATAATTTAAGTAGGAACAAGATATTCTAAGTTCCTTATATACTTATTGTGATTTTAATGGCTCACTTTGGGAAATAACTTATTTTTTCTGAGTCTTTAATTTAGTCACTTACACTACTAAGCATTTGATGTTTCTTGAATGAACAGGTACTTAAATTATTGTTTAAAAAAATCATGTGGCATGTAAATATATTTTAACCTGGGATAGTAGTTATTGTTCCTTGAGAGTCAACTATGTGCAAACCATTGTTAAGCATTTTACATTCAGTATCTCATTTAAACACCCAAATACTGCAAAATAGGTATTATCATCTCCCCTACCCTGTCATGTTACTATTAAAATAGATATTTAATCCTTGGCTCCCCCTTTCATTTTTAAGTTGCTGGGAATTGAACTTTAATTCAGGATCTTGTACATAGTAGGCAGGTGCTCTACACTAAACCACAACTCCACCGCAACCATGTACTTTTTTGGTTTTGTTTTTTAAGACAGTGTCTCTCTGTAGCCTCAGCTGGCCTCCATCTCACAGAGATCCACCTGCCTTTGTCTCTCATACTGGGATTAAAAGCATGCCCAGCCTCACCCCCTTATTTTTTTTGATTAGCAAATATTCATCCATAAGCTGAATATCAAGTTGAAAAAAATAGTCTGTTGGAATCACTGTTTGCCTATTAAATTTGAAATAATTTGTCATAGAAAGTAGTTAGAATTTATCAGTTTATGCTCTTAAAAGTTTTCCTCTTAACATTAATTACTTGAAGTATTTCCAGGTTTGCTTATTTACTTTTTAGTTTTTACTATGATTTGTGGTGGTTTGAATGAGAATGTCCCCCATAGGCTCCAATTATTTGGACATTTTGTTTCCAGTCAGTGGTGTGGTTTTAGGAGGTGTGGCCTTGCTGTAGAAAGTATGTGACTGGGGACCAGCTTTGAGAGTTCTTAAGCCTTGCCAGATTTCCAGTAGCTCTCTGCTTCCTGTGCCTGCTTGAAGATGTGATCACTTCATTTTCTGCTCTGGCCACCTCTTTTTGCCATGCCTCTCATGCCATTATGGACCCTTACCCCTAGAACCATAGTTCAAATATAGTCTATAAGTTGCCTTGGTCATGATGTTTTTTTCACAGCAACACAGAAATAACTTATACAGTATTTGGATGAAATTTAGAAATGTATAAATAGGTGATCTCACTCACTTCATTACAGACAAACATGAGCATCCTGAGATCTATTTGATCTCACTCTCAATTTGTGATACTATTTAAGATCTGACTTTATACAAGAACTGTAAATAATAGGTTGAATATCAATAGTCCCCTTTAACTTTGCTTTCAGAAAGCCCACTCCAGGCTAGGACTGGGACTAAGAAAACTTCATTCCACAGGACTGTGTCATGAACAGAACTAATGGCAAGAATATTGCACTTAAAATGCTGCCTACACAGCTTATTCTCAAGTGGTTCAAAGGCATGAGAGAGAAACAAATCTCACTTCAATTCCATTTTCCTCTTAAGGAGTTGGTATAGTGAGATATTCATTTATGGCTATTTTTATTTTAAGGGTAAAGAAAATCCCTTCATGTAATATTTTAGATTAAAAAAAAATTATGTGAGGCGTGGTGTTGCATGCCTTTAATTCCAGAACTAAGGAGGCAGAGGTGGGTGGATCTCTGTGAGAGCAAAGCCAGCCTAGTCTTCATATCGATTATCAGGCTAGCTGTGATTACAGGGACACCCTGTCTTTAAAAAACCAAAAAAAATTTTTTTAATTACATTATGCGTGTGTTGGGGGTGGGGAAACAGGTGCTTGTGAGTATAGTTACCCATAGAGGTCAAAAGAGGGCATCAGATTCCTGGGAACTGGATGATGATGAGCCACCTGAAGTGGGTGCTGAGAACCAAACTTGGGTTCTCTGGAATAGTACAGGCTCCTAACTGCTGAACCATCTCTCAGTCCCTCATGTAATATGTTACATGTAAAATATGTAATTCTGCAGTCTCTATCCCACTCCCACTAACCTTACCCCAGGATGCCTGAGAAATGACAACTTTAGCATCCTCATCCTGCTTTGTGCCTAATATCCACACCAGTTTACCTTATCACTCTCAAATTCTTCAAACCCTTTCCCTAACCACCAGCCAGTGATTTTGTTTACATGACTTTTGTTCAGTTGCTATGTTAATGAAATTCTTATCACTGTAACAAAATATCTGGGGAAATTAAAAAAGAAAAAAAGATTTATTTTGGCTTACAGATTTGGGGGCTTCAGTCCATGGTTTGTTGGCCCCATCACTTTGGGCTTGAGACAAGATCAGACATCATGGTGGAGAGCATGTTGTAGACACACCCCAGTGATCTACTTCCTCTAACTAGGCTCCACTACCTGGGAGCCCATTCAGCTATGAATTCAGCAGTGGGTTAATCCATTGTTGAAGTTAGAACCTTCATGATCCACTCTTCTCAAGGTCCCACCCATGAATAGTGCTCTATCAAGGATCACACTTATCTATACATGAGTCTCTGGGGGACATCTCATAGCCAAAGTCTTTAACAGTTACTGTATTACAGTCAGATATTGCAGCACTTCTTCATTGTATTTATTAAGTTTCAACAGAAAATTACTAAGTACTTAGGTACAATGAAAAAGATTTACTTTTCAAAAAGGGGAAGACGAAAACATCTAGGCTTTAAATGGTTTGGGTTTTCTTCAGCCAGCTGTCACTGTAGAGCTAGTTGCTCAACACTGGTTTCCATCAGCCATCATCATTACTAGGACAGAATGTTTGGGGAGAGGCAGCAAGCAGTGTGTCATGTGTGCCAGCAAGCACTGAACTTTAGGTCTGCTTTGTATGTTTTATTTAAAATAATGCTGTAATCACTCTTGGCTGCTTTCATAGGCACTAAATTTCTTAAATTCTCTATCTTAAAGTTTTATTTTATTTTTTTTTTAATTAAAAGAAGCATTTCATTACAACAGCATTAACCTATTCAATAACATTTTTCTGAGCTAGGGTACATCTCTTTCAAAATTGGCTGTACATTTCTAGGTTTACAGATGAATTATTACGCTTATATAATCTTTTACTCATTATAAACTCTATAAGACATAAAATTAAATAAGGTTCCAACGTTTAAAAAAGATCTCCACTTCGTTGTCAAAACACACAGTTTCATACAGAAAAATTCATTCCAGGGCTCTTGACATTGAGAAGTTTTCACATGCATTTCCAATCTCTATATACATGACTATCACTGGTCACAGCCACCCACCTTCTGAGCTCCTCAGCATCTGAGCATGAATACAAACTTGTCAGGTAGACAGGCTTCCTCTCCCACTAGAGCCTCCATACTCTGTCATCCCTGCCATTGTCCACTGTGCTGTCAGGACCCCGATCCATTCCCCCATCTGCCTTTCTGGTAAATCTAGTCAGCCAGAGGTCCCTGTTCCAGGAGGATCAGCTGTTCCTCATCAACAGCAATCCATTGTCAGTATTCCTTTGAATAGAATTGGGGTCTCCTGTTCATTTTTCCAGTAGTATGTTGGGTTACTATCTGGAAGAGCCTTTATCCATCCTGGCCAACAACTCGACTGAAGGTATCGCCTGTCTGGCTTTGCTGTTTGTCAAGTAACTTTTAGCTATATATATGTATGCTCTTATGAAATTATATTGGCCCCTTTAATCTTTGGTTATACTTCCCTTTTGGGTGACAAAATAACTCTTGTTTTCTCCCCTAGGGATTTATTTCCTTTGGAATCTTTGGATTGGACAAACATTTAATCATCCTGCCTTTCAAAAGAAGGTAAATTTAGTTTTAAATAAATCTATAAACCTAAAGGTGATGACAAGGCCATTCTATTAAAATACTGGTGCCTTTATACCTTCATTACTGCTAGGAGACCATTAAATACCACAGAAAAGCCATCTGTGGAATCACGTATTTGTTGCAAATAATTGCAGAGAAAATACTGGAAGAACTATTATAAATCCAGCAATGTAATTTGCATTTTAACAAGAATTGATGGACACTGACTTCTGTCTATGCCATTAACTACACAAAGTTAAATGAAACTTAAAAATGTGTTTAGAAATGGAGGTAGTAGATGGTGTGCCCCCCAAAGTCTCTACCTGATTATTTTCCTCCTTTGACAACAGACATTCTCTGTGTATCAAACTGAGACCTTGCAGAAAATCAAAGATTCTCTTTAAATTTGAGTTTTTATTGGCTTAGTGGAGAGTTTCTTTGAATCAAGATCAAGATTTCTTTATGAAAAATTACGAGTGACTGTTACAACTGAGGGGTGGAAGGAAGAAGCAGAGGAGAAAATCTTTGTGCATCTTCATTTGCTTTCAAGGCAAAATTAATAGACACTAAAAGTGCTAATGGAATCCAACTACCTACTCTATAGAAAGTGCTCAAAATATTTCTCCTTCCTTCTCCATCACCCTCCATCATCTTCAGTATGATGTTATTTACTAGGGTTCACACTCATCTTCTGAAAGAAAGGTCAGTAGGAAAGCCACTGCACTGTAACAAGCTTCCTAGTGTTGATAAATAAAACTGTCAACAGTTCTATTGCCTTGATTGACAGAAACAGCAGCTATGCACTCCAGATCCCAAGACTTGTTTCTGTGGTACTGAAATTGAAAAATGATTAAATGAAAAAGCTACCTTTTTGTTTGGTTGGTTTTAGTTTTTTGAGGCAGGGTCTGGCTGTGTAGCCCAGGCTGGCAATCCTGCTTCACCCTCCAAACTTTCTGCCTTGTCTTCCTGGGTGTTGGAATTCCAGACACATGCCATCATGCCTGGCTTCTAAGGTGTGTTTGTACTTCTAAATGGCAAAACACAGAATAAGGAATGTATTGGTAGAAACTGAAGTGAGTCAAACCTATGTGGAGGGCATATAAAATGGTGAGTCCTCACCCCTGTCTGCTTTAAACAGGAAGTTCAGAACAAAGAATGTTTCTGCTTCAGAAACTAATAAAACAGGTGTCACAGATGACTGGTTTTAGAGCAGTCATTTTAGTGGGGCAGGTGGGAGTTCTTTCCTTAAAAACTTGCCTCTTACATTTTGGTGTTCAGGCTTGAATTCCTGTGGAACAATAAAGAAACAGCAGAAAGCAGAGATTCCCCTGTGTCGGAGGAAATAAAAATGACCTGCCAACAATTTGTTCATTATCACCGTGATCTGTGTATCCGAAACATTGTTAGGGAAAGAAGGTAAGCCAACTGCCAGTACAAGTTTTGGAAAATTAGATTTTAGATGATTAATTTTGGATTTTAACAGGGTAACAGTTGTGGGTGAGTTTATGGTTCAAGAAATGAAATACAGAAAAGACACATTTGATCATAATTTCTGATTTCGGTATAAAATGTGTAACTGTAAAGGATGTAGTGTGGTAGAATATTAATAATTCATGTTGGCAACGAGTATCTCTCACAAAGCAATGAAAAAGATGAGACTTAGGAATGATTTTTGTGTTCTCATCATCTCCTAGTGCTATGAAAGTTCGTATTACTAACGCTGCTGTCAAGAAAATGGAATGAAATTTCTGCCTCTTAATTCTGTGATCTATATTTCACTTCAAGTCTTAGGCATTATTCTGTTGCATTATATTTATTCTTCTAATCCCAAGGTATGGAACATGCTGCTACTGAAAATGTTGAACTGTGAATAAACACACACACAGTGCCAATAGCTTTAGTTGTCATGAAAGAGGGAAAACAAGTAAAATATAAAGAACTTAATACCTTTATATTACTAAAAATTGAAAATTACTATTCAAGATGGTTTATTTATATGCATTGTGATACTCGTCAACCTACATGCCATTGTAATCTGAAGGCAGCCTAGTATAGAAAGCAGATGAAGAACCCATTGAGTATGCAGAACTCCTGAGCTGTCATGTGGCTGTGCGACCCTGGGCAAGTTCAAGTCTCAAAACCTCAGATTACTTTTCTTTAAAAATCATATTGTGGTGACCAAATGTTATGATGAGCGTTGTCCAATTGCTGACAATGGTAATTATGGAGAAAAGTTATTTTTTCACCTTGAAAGGCTGAATACACTTACTTTGAGATTCTATCTGTGGATAGTTCCAACAATTTTAAATTGCTTTTTAAATTTTTAAAAGAAGACTCATGCTAGCTCCATTGGGCCTGTTGTGCTTGCCAGCTGTCAGGAAGCACAGCTCTTAGCATTTGCAGAGTTGCCAGGTCCCCGGTGGCTGAATGGGCACCAGCTGGTAGTAAACCAGCCTGATCCCTGCCCCTCTCCAGATCTGCAGCCTGCACAGTATCATTCTTTGACACTTGGTACTATTCCATAGGCTTTTGTGACAGCTGCCTGATCACAGTAATCAAGAAACAAACATTTCAGTTAGTGACTGGGACAGAAGTCTAAACCTCTAAGTTAAGTCAGCAAGCAGAAAGAAGGCCCAGACACAGGCTCTAAAACAGATTTTATGTATCTGGGAGAAATTTTTCATGTGTTATTAGCTTTTTTTCTAATTCTTATGTGAAACTGTATGGTAAAATGCTTTAAAGTTTTTGTCACCCATTTGTCATTTCACCTTGATCTTCACCATCTATTTCCTGTTGTCAAGTACTGTGGATTGTATGGCCTGAATGATGCTTGTGGAGATTCCTGTCTAGTGTACATGTTCTAGTTTGTTCTTCATTGCTGTGACAAAACACTCTGACCACTACCAACTTGGGGAGGAAAGTGTTTTTGTCTTATATCTCCCAGGTCACAGTTCATCAGGGAGCCCAAGGTAGGAACTTAGGGCAGGAACCTGGAGGCAGGAGCACTTAGGGCAGGAACCTGGAGGCAGGAGCTGGAGCACAGGCCATGGAGGATCACTGCTTACTGACTTGCTCCCTGGCCCCTGCTCAGCCCACTTTCTTAAGCAACACAGGCCCACCTACCCAGGGGTGGCACCATCCACAGTGGGCTGGGCCCTCCCACATCACTCAACAATCAAGAAGATGCCCCATAGACATGGCCACAGGCCAGTCCTATGGAGGAAATTCCCCAATTGAGGCTCCCTCAACCCAGGTGTGTCAAGTTGACACTAAAGCTATCCAGCACAGCACATTTGTATGATAGTGTACTGAATTCATGCAATTGACATTTCTTATTTTGCATTTTTCTTTCTCTTTATTTGCTCATACTTAAGGCAACTACATAGCATTAGGAAAGCAAGTATTGAACAATCTAGAAGTAGATTAAAAATCAAAGTGCACTTTTAAAATCTTAGCTTTGTTTCAAGATCCTTTTCAATCCTTCATTCCTAATGAAGCAAATTCCTAACAAACATATCAGTATGACTGAGTTGGCTGCTGAGGGAAAGACAGATTACCTGTGGGCACTACAAGTTGAAACTGGTGTTTAAGTAAGTTAGTAAAAGTAGTTTCTGAAGCACTGGGATTACAGGCCTACACCACCACACCCAATGAAAAGAATCACTTCTTAAGAACTTGTGAAAAATATTTAATCTTCCTGAGGCAATTTAATTTTGTCATATAACTAAGAGTATGTTGAAACTATGTAATATTAGCTATCTGTAAGGCAGATTTGATTAGAAAAGGCCATGCTAGGGGCTGGAGAGATGGCTCATTCAGTAAAGTGCCTGCCACACAAGCACAAATGCTGAGATGGGTCCACAGAACCCATATGAAAGCTGGACATGGTGGCATGTGCCTGTAGCTCCAATTCTGTAAGGGAGAAGGAGCAGCTTAGCCAAATTGATGAGATTCATGTTCAGTGAGACCCTGTCTCAAAAAAATAAAGGTGAAGAGCAATCAAGGAAAGACACTAACACTGACCTCGGGCCTACACACACATGCACATACCACATACATGCATAACCACACACTACAAAGACCATGCTACCATAAAAAGAATACTTCTCAGGGCCTAGTGTTATGACTCAGTAGATACAAAGAGCTTGCTCCACAAACATGAGGACTGGAGTTCAGATCCCAAGAACCCACAGAAAAGCTGGGTAGATGTGGCAGCCTGCCACAATCCCAGCTCTGGGAAAGTAGAGACAGACTGGAATCTTGGGGGTAAGCTGGCTAGTTAGACTAGCTGGAATGGGTGCGCTCCAGGTTCAGCAAGAGCCTTAGTGAACAAAAGAGGCTGGAGAGATGACTCAGTAGTTAAAAAGTGCATACTGCTCTTCCAGAAGACCAGTTTGAGTCCCAGCACCCACATCCAGTCTATAACTCCAGCTGGAATTTCAACTCCTCTGGCCTTGGTGTGCACCTGCACACATGTGTACACACTCACATACATACACATAATTAAAAATAGTAAAAATGAGCTGGGCATGGTGGCGCATGCCTGTAATCCCAGCACTTGGGAGGCAGAGGCAGGCGGATTTCTGTGAGTTCAAGGCCAGCCTGGTCTACATAGTGAGTTTCAGGCCAGCTGGGGCTACAGGGAGACCCTGTCTCAAAAAAACCAAAAAAAAAAAAAAAAGTAAAAATGTTTAAAAAACAAGTGAAGAACAATTGAAGTCACCTATTGTCAACTAAATGTTTCCACATATATGTACACACATGCACCAGCACACATATGCATAAATGCATATATACAGGCATGCACACCACACATGTATACATGTATACACATGGGCATACACACCACACACACACACACACACACACACACGTGCTCCCCCAAAAGAATATTTCTCTAGTGATTTAAATGATCTGAGCCATTGTCTTAGTTTGTTTCTTCATTGCTGTGACAAAACACTCTGACCAGTACCAACTTGGGGAGGAAAGGGTTTATTTATCTTACATCTCCCAGGTCACAGTTCATCCAGGAGCCCAAGGTAGGAACTCAGGGCAGGAACCTGGAGGCAGGAGCTGGAGCACAGGCCATGGAGGAACGCTGCTTACAGGCATGCTCCCTCGGCTCCTGCTCAGCCTGCTTTCTTATGCAACACAGGCCCACCTGCCCAGGGGTGGCACCACCCACAGTGAGCTGGGCCCTCCCACATCACTCATCAAGAAGATGCCCTTCAGACATGGCCACAGGCCAGTCCAATAGAGGCAATTCCCCGATTGAGGCTCCCTCAACCCAGGTGTGTCAAGTTGACACTAAAGCTATCCAGCACAGCCATTTTTAAGCATTTCTGTTTTCATAAGCATTACTGGCATATTAATTTTCCCAGTGGGTCTTCTAGGTCAGGAAGCTAACAACTCCTTTATGTTTAGAACAGCTCCATTCCTGCCATGCTCTTAACTACCGTGCTGTCTTTCCTTCTTTCCTTTTCACTCTTCCTTGCTTGTCCTCTATCATGCAGTGCTGATACCAGTCTTACAGAACATGTGGGTGAATCATTCCTTTGACATACAGGTGTGGTGCAAAGACTTCTGCTGGGACCTTCTGTGGCTGTGATCTGGTGAACTGGCTAATTGAAGTCGGCCTTGCCTCTGACCGTGGTGAAGCTGTGATATATGGAGACAGACTGGTACAAGGGGGAGTCATCCAACACATTACCAATGAGTATGAATTTCGGGATGAGTATTTGTTCTACAGATTTCTTCAAAAGAGTCCTAAACAGAGTCCTCCTGCCATTACTGTAAGCGACCCCCAACAGGAACACTATAAAGAAATTGACCATTCATGCTCACCCTCACTTTCCCCTAAGACTTAAATTATGAAGGAGAATCTTCACATGGAATCATACTGCAGCCTCACATCTATTACTTTTTAGCTGTGTGACCTTGAGCAAGTTCCCTTTTTGAGCGTCAGTCATCAATTGTGTATATGATAAGATGCATTCCTACCCCCATACTGATATTGTATCATTTTATGTGTATGTAAGGCACATAGGAAACTAAGAGAAAACCAAATCAAAAGTAAAAATTCTGATAATACAATAACTGCTATAAAATACTATTCTGTCAATATTTTTAAATTATTTCTTTCTGCAACTATTTGCTGTAATTTCAAAATCAACATTCAATTGACTGTTATTTTAAATTGCCAAATTTGGCAGATTTACTGCTGGCAAAATGGACTTTATGACAATTTTACATTTATTGATAATACTTCCCCTAAAAGGATTTTATTTATTCTAATAAAAGGTTATTTATTTTTTCTTTCTACTTCTTTGACAAATACTACTCATTTATAAATTAAAACCAACATTTTTTGTTTTTGATACAGGGTCTCATGTAGCCCTGGTTGCAATAGCCAAGGATGGCTTTGAACTCCTGATCTTTCTGCCTCTACCTCCTGAGTGCTGGGATTACAGGTGTGTGCCACCATGCCTGGCTAAAACCACCATTAAAATTTTTTTATATGTATTTTTTATTAAAACACCATTTTTAAAGGTTTGTTTTTTGTTCTTCTATCTATAGTTCTAATATGTGCCACTAAGAAGGGAGTAAGAGCATACATTATCATCTCCATAATCTTTTGACAGAAGTATAATGTGACCTTTTATACTGCAAGTAATTTGCACATATTCACTTAAATGTTATCAAAATATTGCCATGTCATGACTGTTTCTGATATTTGCACAAAATATATTGCAGAAGGATAATCTACTTTATTCTCTGTAGTTAAGAAAAAACTACAATCAAGAATTAAAAATTCTAAACCTAGCATCTGAACCATAAAAATGTATTTCTTACAGGTTTAGAGACTGGGTAGTCCAAGACTAAGGCAGCCAGCTTCCCTGTCTGGTGAGGGACTAACTTCAGGTTCATAGATGGCACATCACATGGTGGAAGGAAGCATTCTGGTCTAGCCCCAGAGAGCAGATCCCATTCTTGATGACCCTACTCTCATGAGCTTGTCACTTCTGGATGCCCTCACCCTGGGGATTATGTTACAACATATGAATTTTGAAGAGACACATTCAGACCATAACTCCCTCAGTTAAAGGTTATCTTCAGAAAATTAAAGAGATCCATTTACAATTCCTTAAGCATCTACTTAATTATTAGGTATCAGTATGGTTTAACTTATTTAAAATGTATTTACTACTGGGTGAGAATGAGCTGATCTTCTTAAAGGGAGGGACTTAGATAGACTGACTAGATCACATTAGATGAATTTGCACTAAAAGACATCTGGGGACACTAACTTTACATGATAGGCCTTAACACAAAGTATAAACTCCAGTGGGGAGCTATGGGAGGGTGCCAAAGGGGAAGCAGGTATAAAGATGAATTCTCTGTATGAAATACACAAAAATTCAATAAAAAAATTTTTTTAATAAAAAAAATGCAGAAGAGAAAAAAAGTTAAAATATTTATCTCATTTTAGTGTTTCATACATAAAAGCCACTTAGAAATTGGTTGGTGCCCTTTTTTTTTTTCCTTCTTTCCCTGAGATGGGGTCTCTATAGCCTCAGCTAGCCTAGAACTTGCTATGTAGACCAGGCTGGCTTCGAGCTCACAGAGATCTGTCTTCCTTTGCTTCCCAAGTGCTGGGATTAAAGGCAACTGCCACCACACCCAACCTACCCTTGCCCTTTTTAAAAAACCCTGCATAGCCAGGCATGGTGGCGTATGCCTTTAATCCCAGCACTCGGGAGGCAGAGGCAGGTGGATCTCTATGAGTTCAAGGCCAGCCTGGTCTACATAGTGAGTTCCAGGATAGCTGGGGCTACAGGAAGACCCTGTCTCAAAAAAGACCAAAAGAAAAAAAAAACATGCATGGAAGCCTGGTATATTTTAAAAGAAATGATACTTTACTGTACTATTAATCTATGCCAATTTTATGATTATGGAACTGGGGATGTTTTAGGCAGAACTGTTATTACTATAAAACTTGAATGTGGCTACATTGTGATTCCTAATGCTAGAAGTAAACATAAGCCTTGCTGTGTAGACTTGCAGTGACAGCTGGGACACAGTACATGTGCATGCAGGCAGCTCAAATTCAAGTGGAGGATTTGTTTTGTTTGTGAATAAACCATACTACATATGTTCTCTTATTTGCACAAATCTCAGCAGCATTTGCCATGGGAACTTGAAAAGAAAATCCTAGATCAGAAAGATTTGTGGAGAGGATAAAGGCTTTTAAGAGATGTTTTAGGATTAAGATTATGCTAATTTTATTAAATGAAAATATTTGTAACTGTTACTTTCTCACTGGCAGCACGTTTCTCAATAAAATGCCTATTTTAATGTTCATTGTCAACATCTTTTCTTTGAATCTGAGTAATGCAGAAGTTATCATAGAAGTCTTTTCTATGAATTCTCAATGTGTTCTTAAATGAATTTCCCAAGATTATCTCATGATCCTTTAAGTTCTACAGAGTTTTGAGCAATTAGGTGGTTAGTAACACATTAGACTCATACATTTCATGACTTTTTCTTTTTATTGAATTTTTGTGCATTTTATACAGAATATCTCAATCTTAATCATCTTTATACCCCCATCCCCACCAGCACCCTCCCATAGCCCCCGCACTGGAACCCATATTAAGGCCCAATGTGTCAAGTCAGTCCCCAGATGTTCCCCAGTGAAAGTCCATCCACTGAGGTCTAGTCAGCCTATCTAGAGTCTCTTGTTTTAGGAAGATCGGCTCTTCCTCACCTAGCAGTAATCAGTTGTCAATGTTTCTTTTAATCTAAAGAATCACAGCTGGGAAAATGATCTACCTGGTACAACTTTTACTATTCCTACCTTTTTTCAAAAAAATATTTTTATTGAGTTTTTGTGCATTTCACATAATAGATTTTTTTTTTTAAGTCTTTTTGAGACAGGGTCTTCCTGTAACTCCAACTGGCCTGGAACTTGCTATGTAGAACCAGATTGACATTGAACTCATAGAGATCCGCCTGCCTCTGCCTCCTGAGTGGTAAGATTTAAAGGCATGCACCACCATGTCCTGCTCACCATGTCCTGCTCATATAGTAGATCTTAATCAAATTTAGACCTCCTCCCCGTCCATGCTCCCCATACCCCCAACACCAGATTTCATGCATACTGTCATATGAATGTTAAGTCCTATCTGATCAAGCATTTGTACCCACATGTCCTTCAATGCAAGTTCATCCACTGGAGTCTAGTAAGCCTATGTAGAATCACTCCCTTAAGGAAGATCTACTCTCTCTCACCCAGTAATTGGTAATCAATTGCCAATAGTTCCTGGCTTAGGGTTGGGGCCTGCTGCCAATTTCCCTTGTTCTATGCTGGGATTTTGTCTGATTGAGCCAGCATGAGTCTTGTGCATGATGTAATCATTGTTGCAAGTTCACATGAGCAAGCTCCCAGTGGCCTGAAAGCATATTTCCTTATGTTCATGCACCAATCCTGGCTCTTACAATCTTTCCACCCCCTCTTCCACAATGGTCCCTAAGCTGTGGATGGGTAAGGTTTATACAAGAGTTCTATCCAGGAACATGCACTCTGCAGTCTCTTGTTCTCTAAAACTTAGCCAGATGTAGCCTTCTGTGTGCATTAAAACCTATCTCTCTTCAAATTCATTTTTATATGTATGAGTATTTGCCTGCATGGATACATGTGCAACATTTGCATAAGGTGCTTATGGAGGCCAGAAGAGGGCATGAGATCCCTTAGAACTGGAGTTTTGGACAGTTATTAGCTGTCATGTAGGTGATGGGAACTGAACTGGGGTCCTCTGCAACCAGGGGTCTTCAATGCTGAGCCACCTCTCCAATCCCCAAACCCATTTTTTACACCAGTCCTCAATACAGTCCAATGTTTTTTTAACTATCATCAATGAGTAATTCCATGTCTAAATTGTGCCTAATTTTCAGTACTTTCAGAATAAGATATATTTTGGCTGTTTTGAGAATAGCGATTAATGATCATTAAATTTCTAAAAGTTATGCAGCAGAATTTAGCTCTTAATTTTTGTCCCTTCATCATATATATAATTGCTTTATATATAAAGCACAATAAAGAGCACTTGCTGCACTTGCAGAGGAGAGATCAGTTCCCAGCACCCATGTTGGGTAGCTTACAACTGCCTATTACTCAAGGGAAACTTATTGAAGATTAATATATAAACATTTTAATCAAAGATCAATTTCTCTAAAATAGTTTATTAGATTATTCCTTTGGCTTAGTAGGTAATGGTAATAATAACAGTATTTAAGGGTAGACCCCCTCCAAAAGCTTAATTCAATTACACTTTTAAATCTTAAAATAGTTGAAATTTAAGATCTTAAATTTTCTAAAATACATTTTAAGGCCTTAATTTACCAACACAAATATCCACACACCAAGTACCATGTTCGATTTATAGAGGGAAAACCTACAGATTAACTCACATATCCTCATAGTCCTTATATTTACCTGAGGGATCTTATTCCCATTTTTAATATGGAAAGAGGCAACGGGATGACGTAAGACTTATGAAAGGTGACCAAGTTATAAACTGTAGCTAATTATTCAACCTTACATTTCTATAGACAGAGGAAGCCTGTGTGAATTCTTTTCACCAGTACTTGGATATGCATTTAACAAAGCATCCAGCATAAGCAAAACATAATGTTGAACAATGGACTTTCAGTGCTGTCTTAGTTTGTTTCTTCATTGCTGTGACAGAATACTCTGACCACTACCAACTTGGGGAGGAAAGGGTTTATTCAGCTTACATATCCCGGGTCACAGTTCATCAGGGAGCCCAAGGTAGGAACTCAGGGCAGGAACCTGGAGGCAGGAGCTGGAGCACAGGCCATAGAGGAATGCTGCTTACTGGCTTACTCCCCTGGCCCCTGCTCAGCTTGCTTTCTTATATAACACAGGCCCACGTGCCCAGAGGTGGCACTACCCTCAGTGGGCTGGGCCCTTACACATCACTCAACAATCAAGAAAATGCCCCACAGACATGGCCACAGGCCAGTCCAATGGAGGCAATTCCCCAATTGAGGCTCCCTCAACCCAGGTGTGTCAAGTTGACACTAAAGCTATCCAGCACAAGTGTGCTTGTGTTCTACTATGAAAGACACATATATTAAATGTCCAGCTAACTTGGACTCACAAATGATCCTGATCAATAGAATTTATGAGACACTTGACCTTGGGGTGAAAGGAAAACTAAGGAACTCATGTCTTGGCAAAGCTCTAAGGATGAAAAGAACTACTCCTATGAAAGGGAGCATAGCACACTGTACAGCAGAGGAAAAATAGCTGAGGAGGAATGGGCACAGCTGAAACAGATCAATAATGAATGTGTAATAATAGATAAGGCAGATAAATCAAGAATATATGCTTGTTGATTTGTTTGCCTCATCTAGCCTAAAACTCACTATGTAGACCAGGTTGACCTCGATCTCAGAGATCTGCCTGTCTCTCCTGAGTGCTGGGATTAAAGATGCATCACCATGCCCAGATAGAGAGTATCGCTCTGCTTTCCTAATTAGTTAAGAAAATGACTTACGGGTACTACTTCAGAATTATAATATACACAGACCGTGCATCATATAAATGTCTTTAAGAGTTTAGACTCAGAAAAAGATGGGCAGAGATCTAGATTCCTCATCGAAGAAGATATACAAATGGAAAATAAGCATATGAAAATATACTCGGTATCATGTCATTTGTAATTACAAATTACATTGAAAAACAAAGTGTAAGGCCATGAGTTCAGTATCTGGTAACTAAAATAAATGAAAAATAATTGCATACCTGTTAGAATGGCTAAAATCCAAAACACTGACAACTGGCCGGGATATGGAGCAACACTGCTAGAGGGGATGCAAAACAGCAGACATTCTGGAAGATAGCCTGGCATTCTCATACCATAGGAGCCTGCAAATATGTATCTCAGTATTTACCCCAAATGAGTTGAAAACTGGCATCCACACAGAAACCTGCATATGGATGTTCATTCATTATTGCCAAAACTTGGACCCAAGCAATATGTTCTTTAGTAGTGGAACATCCAACAAAAGAATATTAAAAGATTAGTAGTTTCTTAAAGGGAGAGGGAAACTAAATAATGAGAGCTATAAGTTCAATGGTTAGCCAAGTCTTGACAAAGGTCATACTTAAGTTTTATAAAAGTGCTTTTGCAGAATGTGCTGTAATGTCAAAGAATTAATGTGCAAATCTGGAAATTTTTTCTATTAGATCTGGTTAATATTTTCCTAAAGCACAAAAAAAAAAAAAAAAAAAACTCACTACTTGACATACTTTCCATTGCTTAAAAAAAAAAAAGACTGCTTTTTGGGGCTGGGCGTGGTGGCACAATCCCAGCACTCGGGAAGCAGAGGCAGGCAGATCTCTGTGAGTTCAAGGCCAGCCTAGTCTACATAGTGAGTTCCAGGACAGCTGGGGCTACAGGGAGACCCTGTCTCAAAAAGACCAAAAAGAAACCTGCTTTCTGAAGTAAGAAAATGACTTAAGGGTGCTACTTCAGAAGGATAGTATACACAGACCATGCATCATATAAATGTTTCATGCTTTTTATTCACTACTTTTCTATTGCTGTGATAAAACACCAAGACCTAGGTAGCTTACAGTTCCAGAGGGGTAAGAGTCCATCATGGCAGGAAGACATGTCGGCTGGTGCAGAAAGTTGAGCCTGCACATTTTCAAACAGGCAGAGGAAGCAGAGAGTGAGACAGAGAGTAGGCAAATACTTGGAGCCTATTAGGGAGGACATTTTCATTCAAACCATCATGCTTTATACAATTGAATTCTAACTACTGTAGTTTTAACAGATAAGATATCAATACTATAAAGAAATAATCTGATCTACTCAAAGTAGATTTTGTCATTTATCAGGGCAGTGGGGAATTTTTTTGACCATTTACATGATCACTAGGAACTAATATTTGACTGATAAATTCTACTTTCATCTTTTGTACATTGAGGAAAAAGATTAACAATTCTATCCATGTTGAGATGTGTATTTTGGAGGATTGATTCCATCTCTTTGATCAGTTTTTTCTCCAGCTTCCTCATGTTGTCCAACATTGTTTTGGCTTTTTCCTAAATAATTAAAATAATAAAAGTAAATACACACACACGAACCTAACCAAATTTCAACCCATATCCACTGACAAGGTTTATTCATACTGGTTTCTAGTGGTTTGGTTGCTTTCCTCCCCTGTAGGTACAGAAAGAATAAAAGTCTTTGGAAAAAGTCATAGCTCTAGATTGAGTCAATGCCCTAATATTTATTAATTATTTTTAGCTGAAAATACAAGTACAATTATAAGGATTAATAAATTAACAAGAAAACAGGACAAGTAAAATTTGCTATATTGTGTATTAGAAAATTTGCTGAAAATTATGGCTGAGATTTTTTGTGGATTTAGATCTCTAAAACCAATTTTATCAGATTAAAGAACTGGGGCTGGAGGTATAGCTCAGTGATAGAGTGCTTGCCTAACATGTTTGGGCTCAATCCCTAGCATTGGAAACAAAGACAGTAGATAAACAGGTCAATGCAATCATCAGACCAGGGAAACAGAACAGTATTGTTCTAGAGGGAAAGCAATAAAAAGACATTTTCTCCTTGTTTCAAGAAAGCAGGGGAAAAAAAGGGTCATGATTCTTAAGAGAAAGTAGCAATTTTTCCTACATGTGCTGCTGGGGATCAAACCCAGGCCTTGTACATGCTAGGGAAATGCTCTGTCTCTGAACCTATACTTCTAGCCTCTAGAAAGGTGGAATTTTTAAATAGCTGAAAATTATCATCTTTGGGCCTACAGAAAAAAAGAACACTGTATATAAGCATAATTTAAAATTTCTGAACAATTATGTGGCAGAGTGCCACAAAACAGATTCCTAACACACAATTTCATGCAATTTTTTTTGTAGTAGCGAAAATTTTTGTCAATAAATGGTATTCAAATAATTGGTTATCTTTTTGGAAAACAAGCTTAGAATCCCTACTTCATGACAAATAAAACAAATTTAAGATGGATTAGAGAACTAATTTAAAATTTTTACTTATTTATTTATTTGTATGTATGTACAAAGGCATGAATGTGTCACAGTGTACTTTGTGTGGAGGTCAGAGAACAACTTGCTGGAATCAGTTCTTTCCTTCCACCATGTGGGTCCTGAGGATTGAACATTGAACTCAGGTCATCAGGCTTGGCAGCAGGTGCCTTTACCTGCTGAGTCATTTTTCCAGCTCCATAAAACTAAATGTATTTTAAAAGCACACATACATGGGCCAGATGACTCTGCTGGTGAAGGAACTTGCAGCCAAGCCTGAATCTAAGTTCAATCCCTGGGACCCATATGGTGGAAGGAGTGAACCAACTCCTCAAAGTTGTCCTCTGCTTTCCACACTCATGTTGTGGCATGCCCTTACCTTAGGCCTACACACACACACACACACACACACACACACACACACACACACACACACACACAAAACAAAAAACAAAAAAACAAAAAAACAAAAAACAAAAAACAAAGAGGAGGGACAACACAGAGGAGACATTTCCTCCATGCTTCCAAGTGAAGCCAGCCATGGTCCTTATCTTCACATAGTTGGCGAGAGGACATTTGACTTATCTTCACATAGGCAGAACTGGTAAAAGAAAGGAGCCAGGGGCTCCTCCCAAGCCCATGTGATATTGATTTACCTGGGCCAACTGTATGGCTTTAAACACCCAAAAGGAAAGTATAACCAAAGATTAAAGGGGCCAATATAATTTTTAGAGTCCATATGTATAGCTAAAGGCTACATAACAAGAAACAATGCCAGACAGGAGATACCCTCTTTTGAGTTGTTGGCCAGGGTGGCCCAAGAGACTCCCAGACAGTAACCCAGCAAAGAACTGGGAAAATGAATAGCAGACCCCCAATCTTATCTAAAGGAATACTGGCAACTGATTGCTGCTAGATGAGGAAAGGCTGATCTTCCTAAAACAAGGAACTCTAGATAGGCTGACTAGATTCAGCAGATGGACAAGCACTGGAGAATGGCTGGGGGCACCAACAACACAGTGGACAGTAACAGGGATTACAAAGTATATGGGCTCCAGTCGGGGGGATGGGACTATGGGAGGGTGCCATTTGGGATGTGGGTATATAGATGAATAAGATTGTTTGGGATGTTCTGTATGAAATGCACACAAAAAAATAAATTTTTTTTAAAAAAATGAGTTATATTTGAGGAAGAAGCATAAAAATTTGTTCCATGTCATGCCAGGCATGGTGGCACATGCCTTTAATCCCAGCACTTGGGAGTCAGAGGCAGGTGGATCTTTGTGAGTTCAAGGCCAGCATGGTCTACATAGTAAGTTCCAGGACAGCTGGGGCTACAAGGAGACCCTGTCTCAAAAAGACAAAAAAAAAAAAAAAAAAATTGCTCCATGTTAATTAGTAGAGGTGAAACATGTCACCATTGAAATCTATCCAATGATTTTATATCCATGCTCAGGTAGATCTCAGAAAGTAACTGACTGTGACTAGTAATAATCAGATACAGAGATTAGAGACGCACACCAGGCTGGCCTTGACCTCACAGAGACCCGCCTGCCTCTGCCTCCCACATGCTGGGACTACAGGCATGCGCCACCATGCCCGGCTATGCAGATCTTTTATAGAAGATAAAACCTCATTCAATTTTATGTCTTATAGGGTTTATAATGAGTTCAATATTGTGTAACTGTATTAATTCAACTGTGAACCTAAAAGTTTACAGCCAGTTTTGAAAGAGATGCATCTTTGCTCTGGAAATTGTTATTGAATATGTTAAAGCTGTAGTGAAATGCTTCTTCTAATCATGTGGTTATTAAATGATTTTTTAAAAAATCATAAAAATGTAATTTAAAAAACATATACTGAAAGAAACTATAGACATTATATTTATTTTGAGGTAAGGCAAGTGTTTTGAAGAATGAAATCAAGATTCATTCAAAAGACTAACAAATTAACTAAATTAAAAATTTTTTGATACAAAAGATTTTTTTTAAGTAACATAAGCTAGATACAGTGGCATGCACCTGCACCCAGAAGCTGAGCCAGAAGGATCACTTGAGCCCAGGAGTCTGAGTCCAGCCTGGGCCACATAACAAGTTTCTGTGTCAAATATGTACATAAATATATAATTCATATTTTTGCCTCAAGGAAAAAGAATGACTCAAAGTTAATTGAGAGATAAGAAAAAACAAATAGCTGCCAGGTGTGGTGGTACAAGCCTTTAATCCCAGCACTTGGGAGGCAGAGGCAAGTGGATCCCTGTGCGTTTAAGGCCAGCTGGGGCTACAGGGAAACCCTGTTTCAAATAGACCAAAAACACAAAACAAAACAAATAGCTAAACTATTTAATAGAAAATATGACCAATAAGCATAGAGGATTTCCAGATTCACTAGTGATCAAGAAATATACATTAAAACTATCAGTAAACTTGACTCTTTTTTAAAAAAATATTTTATTTATAATTTTTATTTTATGTGTATGAATGTATTGCCTGCATGTATGTGAGTGTACCCGTGTCGTGCAATGCCACGAAAGTACAAAAATAATTATTTTCAGAGCCAAAACTAGACCTCGGCTCTTTGACACGTCCCTCAAATTCCATTACCTTTCCACTGCTTTCTATTGCCCATCAACAATGTTTATTATAGTCTATTGATTCATTCAAGGCCAGCCTGGTCCACATAGCAAGTTCTAGGCTAGCGGGGGCTACAGGGAGACCTTGTCTCAATAGACCCCCCCAAAAAGTCTATTGGTAGAGTAGTGGCACTTTTATATTGGGGGTAATCAACAGCTACCTAGTTGGACTTAAGGCCCACTCAATGGGAGGAAACTCATGTCTGCTACTGTAAACCTAGCTAAATTCGCATAGCTGGAGGGGTCACAGATCTTAGAGAAAACCCCAAGACTGTCACATCCCTAGACAAATGCAATTTCTTACTATGTGCAAAATATGGATCTTTAAATTTACAGACAAGTATCCCAGTCACCATCCATCAAAGAAGCTTCTTTTTCAACAGAGAATATTACACAGTTCCACAACTGATCACACAGAGAGGTTTTCTGTGAAGTGCCCAAGCCTAAGTGGCACATCTACAATGCAACCTCTACACCTGAGGCTCATGGAACATAAAACAAGGGATGAAGAGAACACTAATGCATCTTTCAGTTCTCATCAATGAAGCTCCTTCATGCAACAGAGGCTCAGGAGCAGAAAAGGTCACAAATGGCCAAAACAGAGAATTGGAGTCTACTGAGTGTAGGTCCTTGGCACAGGACTCCTATATTAAAATCCACCTACCCAGGGCTCAGGGACCATTGCAGAAGAGGGGGCATAAAGACTGTAAGAGCCAGGGAGGAGGTGCATGACCATATGCAAATATGAGTCCTATAGGCTCCTGGGACCCCTTTCATATGAACCTACAGCAATGGGGTTAGCATGTACAAGACCCATGGAAACTCAAGCAGACAAAAAACCAGCACAGAACTGTGGAAATGGACAGCAGCTCCCAATTTTAGTCCAAGAATTATTGCAGTTGATTACTGCTGGATGAGGAAGAACTGATATTAAAAGGAGAGACTCTAGACAGGCTGACTAGACTTCAGTGGATGAATTTGTTGGTACTAAGGGACATCTGGGGACACTTGACACGATAGACCTTAACACAAATGACAGAATGTATGAATTCCAGTGGGAGAGGGCTACAGAAGGGTGCCAATGGGGAAGGGGTATAAAGATGATTAAGATGTTTTGTATGAAATACACAAAAATTCAATAAAATGTTTTATAAAAACAATGTTTATTAAAGTCTAAACCAGTAACAGCTTTTGTTTTGGTTTATTTTGTTTTGGTCTGTTTTGCTTTGAGACAGGGTCTCACTATATAGCCCTGACTGTCCTGGAATTGTAGACCAGACCTGGCCTCAAACTCACAGAGATCCACCTGCCTCTCTGCCTCCCAAGTGCTGGGATTAAAGGCATGTGCCACTACTCCTGGTTAATAACAGCTTTTAAGTCTTTATTTCAATATTACTTTGCAAAGTCATCAGTTAGTAATTCAACTTAGTTTACTAAATATTTAGTACTGTCATAAAACCTACTCCCAAGAGCAGTTTTATGGGGGGAAAGAGAGTTGAAAACACTTGAGTGCTATCATGAGCAAAGAGGGCTGTGTGGAGGTGGCTTAAGGAGTAAAGGGACCAAAATAGAAGCTCCTACAACAAACCACTAAGGGAGTTGAACAAAAGTACAAGGAACCAGAGTTCATCATTGTTCACAGCACTGATAAGAGTTTGGAAAATCAGTCAAACCCATGGGAACGGATCACACCTATTTAGATGTGTGTCAGCTGTTAGTACTTGCCCCTCATTTCACACCACCAAGCTACACGACTGTTTAGACTATGTCGTATGTGAAAACGTCGTACGTGAAAACTAGTTTAAGATAAATGCCTGAGCAGGCTCAAGAATTCTTAGCAAATCAGAAGTCTGACAGCTGTCTGCTTTAAGCATAAGCAAAATAGCAAAGAAGTTTTTTATTTAAAATAAGCATGGCAACTATACAAAATATGCTATAAGCAAAAATAATTATGTGGGGGGAAAATCAACTTAATTTAGTTCAATGCAGACAGAATGTAAATGCATATGCCTTGTGAAAGTGAAACAACAGAAGAAAAATCAGCAGGCTGGGCCTTAGTGCCACAGGCCTATGATGTCAGTTCCTTGGGAGAGCCTCCTAGAAGGATCACAAGTTCAGGGGCTGCCTGGGGTGTAGAGTGAGTTCGAGCCCAGCCTAGGCAACTTAGTGAAACCCATCTCCAAATAAAAACTAAGGAGAGTACTGGGGGTCTAGCTCATTGGTGGAAAGGAAAATCAGCAGGTGTCAGACACAGATGAGAAAGGAGTCAGGCCTGCTAATGCTAATTTCTTCATTACAGGAAGTGACTGATGCCTGCCTTTAGACAGCCCTTCTATCTCCCATTTTTATCTACTTTTCTCCAGGGTCAGGAGGAAGAGAAAGGGAGAACTAAAGAGCTATGGCAAATTATAAAATTATCTTTCAATCTGTGCCATAAAATAAATGTTCATTTCTGGAGATGATATTTCAAGTGATATATTCCTTTTCTAAAATGCTTAAGGTTTTAAAATAATGAACATCTATAATTCTTGTAAAAAAAAAAAAAAAAAAAAAAAACCAGATCATTATTTTAAGTCTGCAGAGTCTGAATAACTTTTTTATTTTGTTTTGTTTGTTGGTAGTACTGGGGATTAAGTCTAAGGGGTTGCAACATACCAGACAAACATGCTGTCATAAGCTACACTCTCCAGAGCCCCTTAAATCACTTTCAATTAATTTTAATGCAGGCTATAAGATTAAGAACATTATGTAAAAAGACTGGGTTAGGAGCTGGAGTTGGCTGAGTGGTTAAGAGGACTGGTTGCTCTTACAGAGGATCTGAGTTCAGTCCCTAGTACCCACTTGGCAGCTAACTCCAGTTCCAGAGGATCCAACACCTTCTGGCCTCTGCAGGACATTGCATGCACATGGTATAGTTACACACATGCAAGCAAAACACTCATACACATAAAATAAAACTTAAAAAAAACTGACAGGGTCTCCCTAGTCCCAGCTGGCCTGGAAGTCTTATGTGGCCCTCAGTCTCACAGAGATCAGCTTGCCTCTGCCTCCCTAGGGCTGGGATTAAAGGTGCACGTGCACCACCGCTACTGGCCAAAAAAAAAAAAATTTTTTTTTTAAAGACCAGGTTACCTGCCCTTCAGAGGCTTTGTAATTTTTGGTGTGGAATATATATATATATACACATATATATGTGTGTGTATATATATATATATATGTATGTATATATATATCAAATGATGTAACTTCCCTGGTCTCAGAATCTTAATTAGTGATAACAGGGATAATAATATTACCCTCCTCAAAGTGGCCATAAAGATTAAACAATCCATAGGAAATGTATTTAATAAATGCTCAATAGGTTAGCTATTGTTACTATGTTCAAAATTCTAAGTTTCTCTAAAAGAGTCATAGCATACACATTCTTAATCAAAGGTAAAAAGCAATTCAGCCCTTGCTTTAGCATCACTATTTCTAAACCTAGTTTTTTACATGAAGGAAGGAAACCAGTATTCTAAAATTCAAAATATGAATTGAATCACACTTTAAAATAGTCTTTCCGGGCGTGATGGTGCACGCCTTTAATCCCAGCACTTGGGAGGCAGAAGCAGGCGGATCTCTGTGAGTTCAAGGCCATCCTGGTCTACATAGTGGGTTCCAGGACAGCTGGAGCTACAGGGAGACCCTGTCTCAAAAATAAGAAAAAAAAATAGTCTTAATACTACAACAAAGAATATAATTGAGCCATACCTCATTTTTATCTATTACTTCCAATGCCTGTTGATGTTTTCGGTAGAGTGGGTGTCTTCTGTCAGGCTTGAAGTGTGGCTTCTTTTTAACTGACCTTTCAATTTCAAATGTTGGTGATCTGGTATCCAACAGTTGTAATATATGTGGTACAAATATGAAAGGCTTAAAAACAGATCTAGAAGAAAGAGTCTTTATTGAATTTACATGTCAAAATATAAAAAAGTCAGCATTTGTCTTCTAGATTCCTTCTAACTGAGGTTTCTATAAATAGTACTAACTAATTGGTTCCCGCCATGGTAGATCTCAGGCTCATCTCCCTGGTACATTTAGACAAGGGAACAATGCTTTATTTAGTTTTGTAGTCCTACTGACCTAACAAACAAACAAGCACATTACGAATGTTGGAGAACTAAAAGTTTTCCAGTTACCAGAGTATGAACAATCCTCAGTGTTACAAATTGATTATGACTCAGAGTGTTAATGAGACATGGGTTTCATTCTATCATCTGGAAAATATCTTTATATATGAAAACCACTAACATTGGGGGACAGCGAATATAAAATTGTTCCTAAATGCAACAAACACTAGTTTTGTAAGATACTAACGTGGCATTTATTCTGAATGTCTCATTATGGATATACCTGAATAAAACTAACTTGGCGTGGTGGTGCACGCCTTTAATCCCACCACTCCAGAGGCTGATATGGTCTATGCAGCAAGTCCAAGCCAACTGGGACTACAGGGAGACCCTGTCTCAAAAACAGAACAAAGTACCAAAAATCCAGCAAGCATAGCACTATTAGCACTCATTTTAAGCCAACAGCAGACCCAAACTGCTGAGAACCTGTTTCTTCAGATTTCTCTCAGAACTGTGTTTGTGACTAAGAGGTAGCTCTTTTTTTTTTTTTTTCCAGAAGCAGTATCTCCAGCATGAAATGCGGAAGTAAAAATGGGCCCTCCTCAGAAGATTTTGTTCTTTCTGACCCCTATTCATTTAGAACAGCACACACATGCACACAACCACAAACAGATGTTTATTTACTTCTCTCTGCTCTACATTATAAGAAACTAAGATTAACTTTTTGGTTGTAAGTTTAGGTAAAAGTCATTATCAGAACTAATGACTTAAATCAAGATAGGTTATGAAAGCCCTAAGGATATATAACTTGAAATGTTAATATT